GGGTGTCCGAGGGCCTGGGACAGGTACCCCTGCTCACCTATTCCAAAAGCATCCCTGGCAATGGCACCTGGTCCATGTGCAGATCCAGCTCATCTCGTGCTGACATCAGCTGCTTTGTGGCACCTTCGTGTATTTCTGGGTTGCAAATGAGAGTTCCTTAGTGCTCGCCTGGGCTGTCACATCAGGTGATGGATCCCCTGCATCAGTGGCATGCAGCGAAGGCAAGCACAGAAGAGAGGGGCTGGGTGCTCTCAGCCCTGCAGCCTCTGCTCTGGGCTAAAAGCAGTTCTAGATCTGAACAGCGAGGGAGAGGCAATGTCTGTTCTGTACATTTTTGCAATCCCCTGCGTGTGGCCCCTGTTCAGGCTCAGGGAGGGGGACAGAGAACAAAGAAGTCAGGGCGGTTCTGTGCCTACATCCTGAGAAACTGCGTGAGTGGCCCGGCTTCAGCTCAGTGGTCGGCTCCCTCCACCTCCACAGATGGGCGTGCTTAGCCTTGCCCTTTTAGTTGGGATTCTGGCACAACCTGGTGTATGTCCAGTTATGGGTCATGTTCACTGGGACATGCTATAGTAAATAGTCTTTTTCTGTTCCTGAAACATTTTATTCACAAATAAATAGCTTTAATGTGTGTATTAAAAATCCAGACTTTGGGGGCCAGCAGGTGGCGTGGTGGTTAAAGCATTGAACTCCCCCATGGCCAGCTGCTGTTCGCGTCCTGGACCTGGTGGCTTGCTTTCTCACCCCCGCCCCCTGGCCTCTCTCCAGTGAGTGTTCTTGCCCTACAGCAAATTTTAAAAATAATCATAATCATCGAAGTTTAATAAATGACTCTTTCAAAAACTCAGACTCGATCTTGGGGAAACCTGCTGCATTTTTCCTCATCTTGTATTCTCTTAGCTTCTCCGTCTGTGAGGTTCCAGTTGAGCCCACTCTGTGGACTTAGGCTTCATCTGGTGCAATTAGAAGTTGGACTAGGTCTGGCATCCCAGGCCACAGAATTGCCTGTGGAATTGGGTGCCCATACAGACTGTCTTCTAGCAGAAGTGTTTTCAGAAATCACATTTAGCTCAGCAGGTTTTATCTCCTACCCCTCAGTGTTGTTTCAGACAGGAACATTTTCAAGAGTCTGCCCATGATAAAGGTTCTTTTGCACCAGAGAGGAGAGGGTGGGTGGCTGGGGTGCAAAAGAAAAACACACAGAAAACTCTTACTTCCCGCCATCCCACACAGTTGCTAATGAGAGCTTCCTCCACTCTCCCGGTACCTAGGGATAAATAAACACAAAGGTGGAGTTTCCTACTTAATATTCACCTGCAGTCAAGTCAAGAGGGAAGGAATTGCTCCCCAGGGCTAACGCAGCAGTAAGCCAGGTCAGCTGTTTCCCAAGACAATGCGGCCTCTAAAGTCTTCCATTAGAGCTGGAGAGATACAGCTGACGGTGCCCAAGTGACTTACGGGAAACCGATCAGGTTGGGCCTGCCGGCAGCTTCTGATGTTGCAGAGACGTTAGCAACAAGGGCAGCAGACAGAATAACACACCTCCAGGGAAAAAAGTCTTCTGCACTTCCCAGAGTTAGACATACTTAGGTTGCCAAGTATTGGTGTTTATCTCATTTGAACGTCATAGGCTACAGCGTCCTAAATTAGGCAAGAAGTCATAGTTGGTGTACCCTGGGGGTAGGGTGACCAGCAGTCCCATCTTGCTCAAGTTTCAGGAGTCTCCTGGACTACATCGGATTTATGTGCTAACATGGGGCAGTCCTGGATAAACTGGAGTTATTGGTCACCAGATACGAGGGCTGTGTGTGTGTGTAACTGGGTGGAGAGAGAGAGATTATAGATGGAAGGGGAGTAAACAAAATAAGCTAAAGAAGTTTATCTCACATATTTATTTTTTTATATAAGATCATCTGTAGTTCTCTTCATTGGGCCAACTAGCGTCATTAAAATTCTGATTTCGATACCAGCTTGAACTAATTCTTGTTTCTGCCATCTGGGAATTCTCTGTATCTTCTGGCATCTTGTGCACTGGTTTGTGAAAACAGAACTTTTTAAGAAAAGAGATCATATGTCTACTGTTCAAGTTATTTCAGATCGGAGATGACTCAAAAAGAAGTCTCCAGAACCTTCTAGGCAGTTTAGAATGTCTGGCTAATTCTTTCCAAATGAAACACCACGGAGCTGGTTTTCTTCTCTAATGGCTTGGTTTGGGCACCACGTATTGTTCTCTCAATGGAATGGCAGTGTGGCTAAATCCCAGTCGTGGTGGTGATTGGTGAGCAGTGTGAAACTCCTCTGCACCACGCGCCAGGGCACGGATGTCAACGGCTTTCACAGGGCATCCTTATCTTCTTGTCTCTTACCAGGTGGATTCTAAGGTACATGATGACTTTCTTACTCATTTACTAGCACATCACTCTGCTAGTGACATTGTACTTAAAGAACCTCTGTCAGATTTCCTTAATATGCCACACTGCTCAGCCAACACCCACACCCACTCTCCCGCTGCATACACACTGCCTGGCTATCCCTCCCTCCGTCTATCAATCATCTATCTGTCTATCTAAATATCTACCTGGTAAACATACACATATAAAAAAATTAGGACTGACAGATATCAAAATGCTAACAGTAATTATCTCTTGAGTAGTGGTATTATGGGTGTTGTCTGTTTTGTTTTTATGCTTTTCTGTTTTACAAATATTATATTATAACCATATCTTACTCTTATAATATAAAAGACAAAGTGACATTAAAGGGTTTTTCTTTGGGGAAAAATGCATAGAACTGCCATTCTCGGGCAGCCTAAACATGGCGCCGGGAAATACATATGCTCTAGTTTGGGAAGGGAAGCTAAGATACTGTTCTCTCTGTGTCAACTCTGCATTAAGAATTTAAATTAATTCCCTTCTTGACTCCGATTATGTTACAGAGCCAGGGCTCCAAAAATATGGAAAAACCTTTTCTGAAGGAAAGGATTCTTATTTCCACCTCATGGATCTCTCTCTAATCTCCCTAGAACCAACCACAAAGGGAAGAGTCTTCCAGTAGAGAAATGGAGAGAATGACCTGGCTGGATTGGAAGATGGGAGATTGGAACTTGAGAACACTTGCATTGACCCATATTGGGGAATGCTCTTGGCATTGCCCAAGATGACCCTTTACCTTCTTGTATCTAATCTCCCCCATAGTGAGGTGTGAACAAAACCTGCCCCCATGCTGAAGTGACCAGTGGGGGTTGCTTTAAATTAGAAGTTGGCTTCCCAGGGAAAGTTGGAGTACCATTTGGGTAAGCCAGTGGACAAGAAAGCCAATGGATGAAAAGGGCAAAGGAAGGGGAGCCTGATCCCAAGGTTAGGAGGCTTGTGTTCTGGGTCAGTCATGACCCAGAAAGCCTGCTTTTCCCCTATTTCTCTGCTAGCCCCTGTTAAATGTTAGCCACTCTCCAAGGCACCATGGATCGTGCAGGAGTGGAAGTGGTGGTCCCTCCCACATGGCAATAATAATGCCTGCCCCTTCGGCCCCAACATTTTCAGAGAAAAATATAATGGAAAATATTTTACTTAGAATGTCTCCGAAAGCCCTGGTCTGTTCCACATCAACATTTCCAGAGTTAAGATAGATTAATTACAAAAGAGCACATTATTGGGGAAGGGGGTACAGGAGGGAGGCATTTCAGCACACTTACATTTCAGTGCATTAAAATACATGAACAATTTACACATCATGCATTAACCACTCTAGCAGATCATTTTTCAACTATCTTAGTGCTGGGGTGTTTTTTGAAAGAGGTGGTCATTAAAACCCTCCCACATGGCAATAATAATGCCTGCCCCTTCGGCCCCAACATTTTCAGAGAAAAATATAATGGAAAATATTTTACTTAGAATGTCTCCGAAAGCCCTGGTCTGTTCCACATCAACATTTCCAGAGTTAAGATAGATTAATTACAAAAAGAGCACATTATTGGGGAAGGGGGTACAGGGGGGAGGCATTTCAGCACACTTACATTTCAGTGCATTAAAATACATGAACAATTTACACATCATGCATTAACCACTCTAGCAGATCATTTTTCAACTATCTTAGTGCTGGGGTGTTTTTTGAAAGAGGTGGTCATTAAAAAATCTTTCGTCAGAATCATTCCATATTTTGTGTGTTTTTGGGTCTAGTCATAGAAAAATGTTCTCCAAATGTAGGTCAAACTCAGCTTCCATCTCATCCCCTCACTAGATGTGGTCACACAGACTAGTCCTTACAGTCTTGGCGCCATTGTTTTATCAACTATGTTCACTGAATCACCCTCTATGCTTTCCAAGGCTTACCTCATAGAGTGCCTCCTCCATGAAGCATTTTCCGACACTCCAACAAGAAGGGATATTGCCTTCGTGTGAACGTTTCTCACAACGGGGTTCTACCATGGTTGAGGTTCTGCCTTGAATGATAGTTTATTGGTGGTCTAGTCTTGCCCCCCTCCTTGAAGATATGAACTGTATCTCGCCCATCATTATGTATATACCCAAAAGCATCTAGGACAGGAGACCCATAAACATATGGAAGACTCAGAGCTGGAAGGGACCTTAGGAAGCATCTGGGCTAACTTGCTTCTTTCGACAAAGGAGAGCCCAGGGACAAAAAGGTAAAAGTGCTTTGTCATCATTGATGGCTACTTGCTGCCAGAGTCAGAACCAGAGCATCAGGTCTCTTGATCTGCAGAACAACTGTCTTTCCACAGATGGCTTAGGCCGAGTGACAGTCTTCAAGAAGTATAACCACATCACACACATGACAGGTGTTAACGCTGTATCCAAAGGTCACTGGGAGGACCCGCACACTTCTGAGGGTGGGGGAAATATTATCACCCACAAGAGCAGCTGCCCATGAGTGTCCCTGTGTACCAGGCACTGTGCTAGGTACTGCACACAAGTTACCTTGATGTCATTGTCTGCTCAGAACGGCCACCCGAGGACTGACTTCTCTCCCTTTTTCCCTTCTAGGCTAATGGAGGTTGGCAGGATGCCACTACCCCTTCATCAGTGACCTCCCCTACAGAAGGCCCTGGCAGTGTCCACTCTGATACCTCCAACTGATCTCCCAGCAGTCGCATCCCGGCTGACCTGTGCCCCAGTTGGGGCAGGGGCAGGAGGGAGGGTTTCTCTCCCAACGCTGAAGCGGTCAGACTGGAGGTCGAAGCAATCAGCAAACACAATAAGAGTCTCCTTCTCTTCTCTTCTTTGGGATGCTATTTCAGCCAATCTGGACACTTCTTTATACTCTCTTCCCTTTGTTTTCTGGGTAGAAGCCACCCTCCCCTGCCTCCAGCTATCAGCCTGGTTTCGTCATCTTCCCTGCCCCTCTCCTTCTGCCCTAGACTCCCGGGGTCCTTGCCCTCTCTTACATCACTGAAGGATATTTTCAACAATTAGAGGGATTTAAAGGAAAAAAAATGACAAAGAAAATAAAGTGTTTGTATGTTTTCATGCTGGTGGTTTGAGGAGCCAAATTTACCTCATTCGGATTCCCCATGCCCTATGTCAACAGGCAGTCCTCCTCTGTTTCTCTTGTAACTGTCACTACCTCTCTGCAGGAATACGCCACATCACCCTACTCACTCCAGGCCACCCCGCCTCCTCTTCCTCTTCCTCCTGAGGCCAGTACTGATTGGGACACTTCCTCCTGTTCCTTCTCAGCCCCAGGTACTCACTGGGGTCTACGATAGCTGAGCTTCTCAGGCTGCCACGTTTCCATTTCAGTTCTGCTAGGTCGAGTCCCAGATGGGAAGTCGGGCAGCCAGGGAAGGCACAGGGCACAGCAGGGGCAGAATTCCTGCAGGCTTGCTCTTCCTCCCAGCAGCAGTGCTCAGTTTCAGAGGCACAGTCTTTAGAGACCATTCAGTACTTACTAAGCAATGTTCAGAACCTATTGCAAGACCAGATCTGGTCAGGCATGTGATGACCACATCACTAAGGAGTAGAAAGTTTTTATCCTGAAACACTTCACCTGCCCCATCTCACACATGCACACGTACACAACACACACATAGGCACACACACGATCTCCCTACCTTCACTTCCCCAAGACTCCATATGCGAATACCTACATGAGTCACAATAGCACCACCTCTTGTGAGCCTAAGAGAAGGAATTAGCAACCTTGAGTGAAAGTCACTGACAAAGAGAAGCAGTATCTGCCTGGGCCTCTAGGACCTGTACACACACCAGGATGACATACATGGGGCTCAATCATCGCGAAGGCCATGACTCTATGGCAAACTACTCCTGCTCCTACCACCTCGGGAGCTCTGCGGGGAGCCACATACAGTACTTACAATGTCCGTAATAGATTTGGTTCTGTTTTATTTGGGGTTTTATATTAAGCACATTGCATTAACTATCCAAAGTGTTACTCACCACCATGTTCTTGATCCTGCCTTCTTGCTCTGGAGGAGACCACTGTACAAGAACGTGGCTCAGGCGAAGACCTGAGAGTCATGGGGATAGCAGAGGTAATGTTTTCATTGCCATTACCAATTCCAGTGATTCAGCTCGTCACTGAATTTGACTCCCTAGGAACATCTAAGAGAAAATAGCATGTACTAGAACGCTGTTCTTGAATGTCACCTATGCTTAATACTTCCCAGTCAACCCTGCCAGCAATAAAGATGGCGGCTCTGTCGCTCGATTTAAGTAGGAAGTGCTCAAATCTCTTGGTGCTTCCTTTCCTTCATCTGTAAAATATGGATTGTTATGCCTGCCTAGCTCACCAAGAGGCTTATATGAAACTGAAGAAACTTATTTTCATTTGTATCCATTCTGTAAATGTGAACTCAGGCCTGGGAAGTAATGTCCCTGAGATAAACTGGTTCATGCCATCGAGGGGCATTACATGGTTTTCCTGTCCTCACATCTGGTTACCATCAGTAAGTACCCTGATGTCATGACCACGAAGACAAAGAGAAGAGTCGTTTCTTGTTTAGGGGTTTTTTGTTTGTTTTAGTTTTGACTTTTGGTCTATTTGGTTTCGTAGGATAGAGAAAAGCTTTCAAACTAGTAAAATAGAATCTGTTTCTCTCTTAGTTTGAATCAGTTATGTGGCTTTGTAAGTATTGGTCCCCCATCACCTCTCCTCTATCTGAGAAGCTTCCAGAGAGAGGTACAAGACCCTGAAGGGTGAGGATGGCCAGCTAGTAAGGCCATGGACATTCCACAGGGCATGGCAGTCATGTATAGGAAACTTGCCTTCATGTATGTTTGAGGGAGTTGGGGGCGTTACCTGAGAAACTCGAGGATATGTATATGTGAAAGAAAGGCAAGAAATAAATATTTGGCCAAATGAAATTGATCCTCCATGACTAGGAGCACTAGAAAGACTGTGTCTGCTCACTGGTGCCATAATCAGAATGAGGCTAGATAAGGAGGGTGCCCAGAAGGACTCTCTTTATGACACTACTATCGTGATTATATAGTGATTAGAACCAGAGGAGAAATTTGTCTCAGTGGCAGAATTACATTGAAACCACCCACAGGTACATGGTTGGATCACATTCGATTGACTTGGGGCAGAGCACACACGGGTTCTCTTGAAAACGAAAAGAGTGACTCGGATTTGGGCTGAGCGATTGCCATGTTGAGTTCATAGAAAGGATGAGAGCAGTGCTCCACTGCGCAGGCAGTTTCTCTCCCGGCAGTAGCTGGCACTGATGATCACCCATCACAGCATCTCCCCTACCCAGCACTTCATACAGGCCTCTTTCTAGCCAATCCCTTTCCCACAGCCTTCCCTCCAAGCCCACCAGCACTTCCAACATGGCCGCCACCAGCTCTCTGCTCAGCCAAGTGCGAGAACATGGGCAGCTGAAAGATGGGGTTGGTAAGAGGTGCCTCTGCAAATACAGCTCCCTGGGAATTCACGTTCAGTCGACCCCACAGACACCAAAATGCACCCTAGAATTACTTCATTTTCTAGTGGAAGTGGTAGTGCTCCATTTTCCCAGACAGCTAATTTCCCTTGAGAAACAATACTAGACAGTGGGTTTGCCCACCTTGAGACTACGCTGTATCCTTTTCACCCCGTCTCCTCCCCCTGGCGTGAAATTGACTCCGTGCAGCACGTGAGCCACGTGGCCCCTTCTTCCAGAGCATTTTTTATTTTGCTGTGGTGGTGGTTTTTTATTTGCTGGTTGCCTTTTCTTACAAGTATCTTTTCCCCTCTTTCTTTCTGCTTTTAATTTTTCTGCCCAGAAAAACCTGACTTCGATACCAAAAAAAGATGAAACTACAGAAACTCAAATTTAAAAAAAACTTTAAAAAAAAAAAACAAAAAAATACTCAACGATTCTTTCAGCTTTATTAACATTTTCCATTGTTTCTTGCGACTTGTGTCTCGTTCTTTGTAGTATTGATGATGAACATTTGATAATGAATGTTCTTGTATATTCAGATAAAGAAAAAAAAACCAAAAAAGCGGTCTGAATTTAATAGTGTTTATAATAAAAATTTTAAAAATGACCCTCATAGCACGCAAAACAGGATGGGGGACCTCCCTCGTCCTTCTGTGACAATGCATCATTCCTGTATTCGTTTTTAACACCAGACTACCTACATTCATCGTTTCCCCCATTTTTCTTTTTATTTTCTTGCATTTGTGAATTAGTTCAAGAATGCTAGAAAAGTGTCGAGTTGTGCACATCCATTTCTTGTTTCACAATGTTTAAAAGTGACAGTAATTCATTTTGTAAACTAAAAAAAAAAAAAAAGGTTGGGATAGTGAGCATAATAGGTACAACCTAACATGTTATTATGTTTATTAACTTTGAGACCCAGAAATAAATTTTCTTTTTTTTTTATTCCTGCTCTTAAAAATTCAAAAACAATATATGTTTTGTTTTGTGTTATTTTTGGTTTGTTTATTGGGGGGGGGGCTTTTCTTTAATTGTCAGGAGTATGGTCTTGCTGTTTTTCTTCCTTAAATATGTATAAGAGGTGATGTGAAAAGGTGACCTTGGTAGAGTAGGCTGCCTCCATAGTTGTCTTAGCTTGAATTCAATTGATATCAAAAACAAAGATGGAGCCCATTCAATGTCTCATTGCTCACCTGGCCCACCTCTCCTGGAGTCCTAGAGAAAAATAAAGCCAAGAACTTGCTTCTTTCTCCTTTGACCATTTAAAAACTCAAGGAATTGGTCCAGGGAACCCTTTTATACTCTTAGGAAAGGATTTTGCCTTGGTCGATTCTGAATATCACAACCAAATGTTTTTTTTCTTTCTCCTGATTAATAAAAGCATTCCACAAGACCCCTTCCAACTAGAAAGGATCTCTCTTCCAGAAGAATCCCTCAGAAGATACTGGTGTGATGGGCACCCTTGGCTGAGCCTAGATCCAGGATGTGGTCCTGGGGCCAGTCCTGCTTGCTGATCCTTGGAGTCCTGACCAGGGCTACAGCATTGGTGAGCTACTAAGCCAGCCTCACCCTGTAGTTTTAATGCCCAGAGGTTAAGTAGGAGTCACTGACAGTGCACTTCTTAACCTCTGACTTAGTCGGCTGCTTAAAAAGAATTCTAAAACAGGCTTGATCTGGAATGTTTTGATTACTTAAAGAAAGAAAGAAAAGCAATATTATCTGGTAGAAACATAATTTTCGACATCTCCCATTCTACAAATTGAGTGTTCAGAAGGCAGCCGGAACATAAAAGCAAGAAAAGGGAAGAACAATGGAGAATTGTGATGCTACATTTTAGGATGTATTTCCACCTAAACACTGTGCTTTTCTTTTTAAGTCAGAGCACAATAATGACGAGCTTTTCACATCACCTTATGGTTTTGATCCCTAATGCAAAGCTTTCTGGAATCTTTTAGTTTTTGTAAACATTTTTTTCTTTTGTTAAAATAAAACATTCAATGTCTCCCCCCTTTCCCTCTTACTCTTTCCTTTCCTTTGGCGTTTTCATTTTGAAGTGTTTTCCTTTGGTTGCTGGTTTTATTCTCCCTCCCCCTCCCCTTTTCTTATTATTCAGAGTATAAACCTGCAAAGCTCTACTCTGTTTCGGTTTTGAAAGTTTAAGCTTTTCTGCTTCTGTGAGAGCACAGGCTTCTGTCCCTTTTGATTCCGACTGAACTTTTGTGTTCTCTAATGATACTAACACAGTATAGGTTTTACAGTCTCCTAATTTGTACTGGTAATGCATATTCCAAATAAATAGTTTCTTTTGTTGCAAAAAATATATACTTGTATTTATTGCAAATTTGTTCTCTTATATGCTGGCAACTTATTTTCCCCTAAACTAGCACTGGGGTAGTGTGGATTACGGTGTAAACCATTGCCCTAATCATTTTAAGGTCTATACGCCATAGCAGCAGGGCAGTGACTTCATGGGCCACCATTCTCACCCACAAAATAAGGATAGAAAGGTAATTTTCTGGCAAACTTCGCTGCACTAAACGAGGCAGAGCAACCTGACTTGTCTGCTTGCCTATAACTGGCTGCTGTCCACCAAGCACCAGGTAAAAGAAATGCCAAGGATGCTTCCCCATACTAAATTCCAGTCCTTAAATTATGGCCCTTTTCCCAATCTGTGCTCCTTTCCTTCTCTTGTTCTGCTATGATTTGCTCATGAGGAAAACCATGGCTCCCAAGAGATGTCCCAAGGGACAAAATTCAGGTTACAAATAGTATGCATATGCAGGCTCTCAATCTGTGTAGACTTGGACATCCACCATCGGCTGTGTCTGCCATCTCTTAGAAGCACCTTCCCTAAGTTTGTACTCGCACTGAGCTATGACCTGTGAGGTTTCAGTCTGTTTCTAGGTGCAGTGTCTCCAGTGTCATGGTTGGAGCACTAGCCCGTCACGTCTTTAACACCATCTTCCCAACCAGAGACCCAGAAGGAACCTCCAGTCTAGCTTGTGAAATGTCTTCTGGGAGCATCAAATGTATTCTCTTATTTTCATGCTGTAACTGTCCAAGAAGGCTCTGTCCAGACCTTTATCAGGCTGGTATTTATTGAAGTTGAAGTATGGTCACTCGATCTCTCATCTCAGTCATGATTCTGATCAACAGAACCTGGATCAAAGGGATGGCGAGCCAACAGGGATCAAATTCACATTTTTTTTTTTAACGTCTATTATGTCTTCCAAGAGAGAGAGGCAGGCATCCTCAACAGGGTCTTTGCATCATGACCCATCTCCAGCTTTCAGCCAACCTGGGTCATGGGCACATGTGCTAGAAGTGCACAGGGAGACTAAGGGCTGGGGACCTGAGACCTTCCCATGTGGGCCTAGCCTTGTAGAGCACTGTGTGACCCCTGGGTCACCAGCTGGACCCCAAGTTATTTTTATTAATGGTCAAGCTAAGCGCCCAGTATCTTCAAAAGTACAAAACTAACTCTTGATGGTGACTTAACAAGCATCAGCCTGGGGCCAGAATCAAGGCTTCGTGCTTATTTTCTCTCAGACCTAAACAGTGGGATACACTTACAGGAATAAGACAGGTCAGACTACTTTTTCCAAGAGCACAGAGACCTGTAGCCCTTACTCGACCACCCAGGGTATCTCTTAGTGATCCTACTAACCTGTTGTAACAAACAGACCAAAAATATAAAATGCCTCAAATGCAGTCCAAGTCTAATTCTTGCTATGTAATAGCTTCAGGCAAATGTTCCTGGTCAAGATGCCTCCTCTCCATGCAGAGTTTCAGAGTCCAGCTCCTTCTACATGGTGGATCATCATCCTCCAGGAGATCGCAGTCCTGTACAGCTAGCTGCCAAGTGACCGAGTAGGAAGACTCTTCCACTCTTAGAAGCTTTGGCCAAGACCTCCCTTCTGCTCACACTCCTAATTGTTAGGGTTAGGGGCAAGAGTAGGAAGCTGGAAAAGTAGCCCCTGGCTAACACCGCACAATAATGCGATGGACAGCTGGCCATCTCCATCATACCTAGTGGTCAAAAGCGAGAGCGAAACACAAGCTCACACCGCTGTTTGAACACGTGCACAGAGGACATTCCAGCCAACATTTCAGACTTGCCTTTGTTCCTCTTCAGTGGTAAAGATAAAGAAAGAGGTCTGGCAGGGACCAGAGATGTTGAATCCAGTATTGACTCCTCAAGAGACAGGAAATAGGGGTCCCTTCCACTACGAAAGGAACTGTGAGAATGGGGGTGTGGGGAGACATCCCTTCTTCCCAACCTTCTCCATCCACATACTGTGTTCTAAACTTGGGCCTCCACACTGGGCCTGTCATCAGGGGGTGAGGACTGCAGTGTATTAGGCAGCCTTGTTCCCATCCTCAGGCGGCCACATGCCATGTGTACTGCTGACTGGAAGGCACGTGCCCAGTGGCCAGCACTCACCTCAGAGAGTTCGGGTCTTAACCTAGTCCATTCGGGCCATGAAGTAAAATACCTTAGCCTGCATACTTTTTAAACAATGAAAGCGTTTTGTTCGTTGTTAAGGAATTCCAAGATCGAGGCACCAGCATATCTGGGGTCTTGGTCCTCACGGGGTGGAAGAGGCGAGGAGCCCCTCACCCCCCAGCCTCGTTTATAAAGGCACCAATTCCATCCATGTGGCTCCACCTTCATGACTTCATCACCTCCCCAAGGCCCCACTTCTCTTTCATGGGATATTAAGGTCCAGGGTACAAATTAGGAGGGGTGCAAATATTCAGACCCCAGCAGCTCTAAAGCCTTAGACTCTCGAAATCTGCTATGCTCAGCCTCCCCATGCCCATAGAGTCTTACATGCCTATCCTTACTGCCCCTTCTCCACTTAAAACAAAAAAAGACATGCAGAAAATACCAATTTTCTGGTCACCATCTGGCATAGAATATAGCCTTCCTTCTGGAAGCATCCAGCATGGAGGTGGTACAGAGGTCGGTCTTGAGAAATCATTTGGCAGTTGAGATCAAGGAGGGTGTCTTACCTGGGCCTCTGAGCTGGATGGTCAGCGCAAAGCATGAGGCTCCGCTTCCTCTCATCCTCTGCATAAAAGCCGGGACAGTGCACAAATAAAGCAGTGACTTGTCAATCACAGAGGCCGTAGAGGTGGTCTACGGTGTCAAGCCTTGGGCCAGCTCAGCTGACTGTGGAGGCCACCCTAGTGAGGGTGGAGGAGAAGGAGCTGCAGAAGGTTATGGCAATGGAGGTGCCCAGGGTCACATGCCTTGGAGAACCTCTGTCCTTGTGTATCTTCTGGGGCCTGTGTAAAACAGAGTGCTGCTTCAACTCCTGGGTGCCTCTGGATAGGTCAGGAGTGTCCACTCATCCATGTCCGGGCTCCATTGCACTCTGAGCCCAGAGGCACTCTCCCTGAGACAGCTACGCCTTCCAGTGTAACCACCAGTAACACCCACTTCTTGATAGCGAAGAGGTACCAAGTGCTCTAAGTACACTTCCGTACAATCGCTCATTAATGAGCACCTTGAGAGGAATGAAAGAGCAAAGTAAAATCCTCTTCTCTCTTATAAATTAAAATTCAAAGCAGTGTTAGTCTTTAGCTGTACCCTGTCTGTCTCCCCACTGTGCTCATTCTCCACCAGAATGCTCTCACTCTGTTGCCGGAAGTCACGTCTGGGGCCTTCCTTCTTCAGCAGCAGCGAGGCCTCTTCTAGTGGAAAGGAGACAGATGTCCTGGTCCCACTGAGGTTTAATCCATCTGACCTCGGATCTCTCTAGTATCCCACTTTTCCTAAAAAGTTACTCAGTATGCATGTGAGCAATACCCCAGTATCAGCCTGACCCACAGAATTTAGAAAGCACCAGGGAAGTCTAGGCGTCCACAGCAAAATTCAATTTTCAGAACCCGTAGCACGGTGCCACGTGGTTCCCAAGGAATAGCCAGAGCAGAAATGTGGTCACTTGCTGAGGAAGTGGGAAGGACAGGGAGCGTAGGGAAAAGTCAAAGGTAATCCTTATTTCAGAGTTCACAGTCAACTGTGGAGTTGCACAAAGTTATTCACCAAGAGGTTCATGTCGCATTTGGTTTCCTGTATCCCATCTCCTGGGGGGAAACAATCCAATCTACAGCATTCTGCCTCCTCTCTGTGGAAATGGGCCCCCCTTCGGCCCACAGGTGTACCTGAGGCTTCCCTTGTCCTCAGTTCATCGGTATTCATATACCTATTTAAGATTTATCTCGACGTAAAGTCCTACATTCCTATCTGAGATACGCTTCTCCACGGGCCTCTGCTGTGACGTCTGCTGCTTGCTTCTCTGGAACATCTCTAGCTCATGGCCCTCTCGCAGGTGTTCCTTTGTCTCAGATTGGTGTCAGCTTCCCAACCCTGAAAGCCGGCTGTGGAACGTTGCCTTTGTCCCTCAGGGGCCTCTGCCCAGAAAGCCTCCCTCTTCCTCAGTGTAGAGTCTGAGGCCTTGAACAACTGCTGCTGCTTCAGTCTCACCAGAAACGTGCTTGGCGGCCATCTCTGAGGTCCCCAACTGAATTTGTTACTCTCCTATAGTTCCTCCACTCTCTCTTTAAAATATATATATATATATATATATATTCCATTTTGTTTTATTTTGACGGGAGAGAGAGAGAGAGAGTGCAAGCCACCAGGTCTGGAACTCACACTGTGGTTGGTCAAGTGGGAATTCAGCGCCTTTAACCACCACCCCACCTGCTGGCTCCTCCTCTTTTTTAGGGCAGCAGGCAAAATTTAAAATTTTCTAAGCTGCCCCTTCCCTTAGTTACTTCCCTCTCTGCCTTGTGTAGAGCTCACTCCCTTTGCTATGGGGAACAGACATTTGATTTCCTAACAAGCTTTTCTAAATTCTACCCAGAAATTTGTTTTCAACAATTCTTGATCTGTCCAACATTCCCATTGTTTAGATAAATCCTGCTCGTCTTAATTCCCGGAGTTGAGTAATGCCAGCACTACCACACCCAGGTTCAGTCGCTGTCATCAAAACAGGCTCCCTTGGAGTCAGCAGGTGGCTTGGTGGTTAAGGGTGCTGGACTCACACATGGCCGATTGTGGTTTGAGTTCCAGACCCGGAGGCTTGCTTTCTCACTTTTCCTCTCTCTCTCTCTGTGTGGAAATAGTTAAATAGAATAATAATTAATAAAAATGTGAAATAAAATAATGCTTTTTAAATTTTTTTTTAAAAAAGGCTCCCTTGGGGCCAGCAGGTTGCATAGTGGTTAGGGTACTGGTCTCCCACATGGCTGAATGCAATTCAAGTCCTGGCCCTGGAGGCTTGAAAGTCATGCTGGGTGCATCTGC